TAGCTCTATAAACATAAAACCACAATAGACTGAACATATATATTAGCAGAACACCTTTATGGATGTTTGCTTCATATATAATTTGATGTAGTTTTCAGTAAGGAATTACATTACAACAAAATTAATACACATTTTACAGTGAAAAACACCACTACCATGTGACCATGTGTTGATGTGGCTTTGTTAACATGTTATACATAATGCTAATGCATTCAATGACATACTTGTGATTTGTTTTTTCTCATTACCACTGAACTCTGTTCTGAATCTCTAGATTAGTTGCAAATATATTCATAGTCTGTAGACATATTATTGGATTTTAAGCTGTGTATTGACGGCTGAAATGTCATTAGATTCAATAAGCAAATCGTGACCAGACTCTCATCACAAAACTGAGGCCATCAAAAATAAAAAAATGTTTCTGGTCAATTTGTTCTCTAAAATCAATATGCAAACACCCTTTTTTATTCTAAAATTGACATTTATTATGATTTTTCAAAAGGACTGAATTTTTCTTTCATTATTTTTTTTTTTAAATCGCACAAAAATCATCAAAAAAGAAGATGCCATGACACTATGTTTTTAACTGATGCGAACAATGACCAGAAACATGAATATTGTTTTTCTGAGCCCGTGAAGCGAAGATGTATTGATTATGTTGCCATCATTTGCTACATTCTTTTTTTGGAGAATTTGAATATACTGAAGGTAAAAAGTATATTCCTGTTGCTCAATACAAAGTGCAAATCATAATTTTAAAATTGAAGAATAATGTTTCAATAGTAAATTAACAGTTGTATCAAATCAACCAATAAACTCAGTGATTGTCCTTAGATGATCATGACCCATGATATCAGATTTATAAATCAGAATTGTCATGTTTTTTTATAATAACTCTCAAGAAAGTGAATTTTGATTTTCTACTTATATTATCTTATAAAATGTCTTTAACCTTTTCACAGTTCCCACTTTTCATCACAAATTCACAATATAGTCCTGTTTATAGTACACTTTCCTTCAGAAATTGGGACAAAAATAGCTAAATATTTTGAGTAAAAACTGAAAATTTATTCAAATTTTGTCTGTTGGCTCCAAAATTAGGATTCATTTCCAGAAATATTGAAGAATATAAGAAAAAAGTGCAGACAAATTTGGGTGAGAGAGTCTGGTGGTGAAAAGGTTAACAACAAAAACAAGAAGAGACATTTTTCATTCATCTAAGATTTGGACAAGTTAAAAAGTACAAAGAATGAAATGATATAGCCATGGTCATTGTATACCATTTGTACACTACATCCACATTCCAACCAACATGGACCAACATTCCTTTAAATAACTAAAACCTGTCATCTGAAATGGACTTGGACATGGGTGGCTTTCTTTTTTATTTGTCATACAAATTCTTATGAGATTCTATAAGGAAATTCATAGTTCACACAGGTAACTATGGCAACCACAATTGGACTATACCAATGTCATAGGAGAACATAGTCAAATCCTACTAAATTCACACAGGGGTGTTTCATTTCCCAACCCTCAAAGACCACCCCTTCAAATTAGTTGGCTTTATTTTTCAGCTATTCCCACATCAGGTTGATTCCTAGACATACACATGATTTCACTTGCAAGCAATAATAATTAAACAATATAGATGAAGTGATAGGAACAATCAGAATCATAAAACATTGCACCTGAACCTCTGGTCTGGAAATATTTTTTTAACTTAAAATTAAGAATCATGTGTTTATAATTTAAACTAAGAAAGAAATGTCATATTACTAGTATCTGTATCTGTTAAAACATAGTTGAACTCTGGTGACCTTGCCCTTTGTTATATAACATAATTCCCTTTATCATAGTTTGTTTCAATATAAATATGCATTGTCATAATTAATTTTGAATACAAACAAGTTTTGGGGTTGAACCAAAAGTGGGGAATCAGTCTACCGAATGTCTTTAAAAGATGTAAATATCTTACAAAAACATTGGTGCCTTATTTGTTTAATTATTCTAAGGAACATAATTTCCAGCTTTATTCAAAGTAATTCAGATATTTTAGAATAAAAACAAATGTCTCATTGCAAAAACAAAGTGCTGCATTTAGATGTGAATAGATTCATAAAACATGCAAGATAACAGAAAAATTTAGCTGGCTTTATTTAGTCCAAGTATTTTGTACAGGTGTCTGCCAAAAATTAATGATTCACTGAGACAAATATGAACTGCCTCATTGTGTGACTACTGTATTATATGAAAAGTAAAAAAAAACACTCTTTATGAATAGCTATCATGTTGCAAGCTCTGCTTTGTATGCAAATCAACTTAAATAGTTGGTGTCCAGTGGAGGGAGAAGTCAACAGTACT